CCCAAAACAGTTAAACTGCGTGATTACTGTCATTAGTGAATGCTGTCTGTGAGTACTTCCAAAGCTGCACACAGCCTCTTCAAGTCTTTTCATTATTATCCATGGTTAATGGTCAATTGATCAGTATTTCATATGTGGCCATTTACCAGTAATTTGTTTCAGGCACTGAAAAGAAGCAAGTACTGCTGAAGTAGAGTTCAATAATAACTTACTCAGGAGCTAATGAGGAAGCCCAACAAATTAGGGTCCAAGAAGTGGTAGATACTGAAAGAATGAATTCCTGATCTAGCTACAAATCTTTTGCCCATTTATCAACCAGTTAGAAGACGATATACTTTAGGGATGTGCTGTTCTTGAAGGTGGAGTCAGATGTATCAAGTGTTCATAGGCCAAATCTGAATAAGTTAACATACACTTAGGATTTTGAAGTGTGTACTGACTGTAAGCATTTTTGTGCTGTTTTTTTTGTGGGGCTTTTTTACTTAACTTTTTGGCTTTGAGAATTAACAATTCATGTGATGCTTTGTATTTCAACCACAGGGGCTCTTCTGTTTTAATTTGAACCACTAGAATGCTCTTGCTTCTATCAATTACTTGAGGATTTTATTACTTCAAAATTAAGTTCTATTGCACATAGAGGCTTGTGGTATCCTGGCTATCGTCTGAATGTCAGGCATAAGAACTGCAGTTCATACTAATACAGTGTTTGAAAAGTTAACTCTGGTTAAGGAAGGTCTCTCAGAAGACTATAACTTTCCTGAACCATTTCTTGAGTGGATTCCTTGAGTTACTTCGTGTCTCTTTCTGTGCTCTTTTGAAACCCCTTCAAAGAGTTAGTCATAGCTGTGTTTTTCGTAGGATAAATATACAGTTCTTTCACTCAGAGCTTTTGCTTTTTTCAGTAGTCACTGAAGCCATGAGTACAAAGCATCATCTGCAGTAATTTAACACTTTTTTCCATACCAAAGTTTGATAGATTCTTCATTCATAGCATAGTAGTGAGGTTAAAATAATGTGAGTTCATCACTGGTTTTAGTGTGACAGCAATACAGGAAAACCTTTAAGGGAAAGAACAGTAGATAATGCTTACAATGGAACGAGACCCTTCTTAATGAAAATGACAAGCTTCTGCCTTGAGCTGAATTCTTTCATCAGAAATCTGAAGAAATGTTTCTGAATTTCTGAAAAGCCTCTTCATTAAAAATGCTGAAAAAACCCTCTTGAAATTTTGACTTAGCTGTCACTTTCATAGGAGAGGAAATTCCTCTTGACATAGTCGCAGTTCTAAAACTAGGAACAACAGAAATTCTCCAAACAGCTTACTGTGGTGATAGTCTTGCAGGTATTTTTCCTGTTTTTCCTTACGTTGTAGAAAATAACATGCCATAAGAAAGGATGGGAAGACTGTTGAAAATGCTACTACGTATTACCCAGGATATTAAAATCTTATTTGGCTGACTAGTAGAGAAAGCCAGTGTAGTCTTTTTTTGAGTTCAAGTTTTTCTTAGAACTTGAAAACCTACTAGAAGTCAAGAAGAGTCTTAGAGCATTGAGTTGCAGCACAGACTCAAATCATTGCATTCCACAAGCAACTTTTTTCTGCAACTGCTGCATGCAAAGGGAAACATTAAAAGGATATTCACCATTCTTCCTTGCCTTTTGCCTTAACAGCCACAGGCAGTTCATTAATCCCCAAAATACTTATTTCGAGCATAATCTAGGATCAAATTTCTCTTCTGCTTTAGTCCTGTTTCTTGGTGTGGTCTCCTAATATATTACAGGAGAGTGATAGAAAGACAAATAGAAATGCATTTTATATTCTCTTGAGAGCACAGTCAGCATGTAAAACAAACAAATGGATGAGTGGAAGAAAACTGACAGTTGCCGAAAGCAACTGTGATGACTTCGTGTTTACTATCTTGTATTTCATGGCATCTTGGAATGCCAGTAGGAATGCAGCACTCCGATTAAACCTCTGAATTCTATTCAGGATTCTCTGGCACAATGAGAATGAAACTTTGGGGTTTTTTCCTCATTTAGAATAGTTTTGTTTTAAGATACTACAAGAATAACTTAATGTTGGTTGTCACTAAACTATGTGCTGCCTTGCTATCTGAGTGCTGCCTGTTTTCAAGCAAGGCAGCCAAAGCTGCAGGGAAGAGGTACTTTTGGAGATCAAAAGTAGAGGGGGATGGGAGAAAAGCATAATAAGATGCTTCTGAAGCACAATTTTCATTAGTTAACGAATTATTAAATTCTTCAGTTAGCTGCTTGTAAAACATGAGAATGTTTAATCATGGGGCACCAGGAACAAAAAGGCATATTCCCTGACTGGTAAAGTAATTTTACTTCAAATATATTTGGATGCAAATTTATTTTTAAAAAGTATGCATAAAGTTAAATCTTACTTGCTACTGTAACCTTAGATATTTAATATCGATACCCCGTGAATATGTAGAATGTATTTAATTAGGTTCAAATTAGTACTAACAGTCAAACGGCAGTATTTGGTCTGTGAAATCAGTTACTGAGCACAGTTATGAAAACAGCTGTTGTACAGGGAGCAATGGAAACATTAAAAACTATTCCCTGTCAGACTTTACAGGATTTTGAGATCTTGGGGTTTGAACCGAGTTAACTGAGATCTAATTATCACTGTCTCAGTACAGTCTGGAAGGATTTTCTCCATTTTTCTTCAAGAGAAATACAGATGATCTTGAATACCTTTTAAGGGCCTCTGACAAATGGACCCCAGGGCTTCAAATTCTCATTAAAGAGCTTAGATGAGTGTTTTGAGCTTGGAATTGTGCTTCCAGATGCAGAGATGGAAACAATGATTATAGTCTCAGGGACCATTTAGGCAAGTAAATGATATTCGAGATCAGTGGGCAACTGTGGTGGTTGTTAATGAGTTGCGTGATACTAAGTTGCGGGAGAGTTACTGCATTGTGGGTGGCAATGGAACACATAGATGCATATTTCCTTGTGTAGCTGCACAGAGGAAAAGAATAAAGATGGTGTTAGTTTCCAATCGGTTACATGTTTTCTTTTGACCTGGTTAATTCTAAGAGAGAATCTGATATCATACAGAATTTTGTGAATCATGCGTTGCTTAAAAGTGAAAGCAGTGATTTTGCTGGTGAAAACATGCATCATCCTTTTACAGTTTTTGAGTCATGACTTGAAAATTTCAGGCTCAGTAGTATTTGGTTTGCAAAATAATCTTATCATGGATTGATTTGCATTTTGATATTCAAATAGGAAGAGGAAGGAGTTCTATTGAGGTATTGTTAGCTCAACCTTATCTTCTTTCTTTTAAAACAGTTAAATCTTACCTGCCAGCAACAGTCTCTTCAGACAAGGCGGGGTTTTTTGACAAGGAGAATAACCTTTACATAGTAAGGTGTTATCCTTTTTAAAACTTGTGTGATCACATAAATATTTTCTTAAATAAAAAAAAAAAATCCTTTCTAGTTCATGGAATATAAAGAACATGCGAAATAAACTCAATGAACAATCCTTCTTGGCTGGATTACATAGTATGAACCCTACAGTACTCGTAACTGAAGAGAGGAGATCCAAGTGATCAGATAAGGGCATCTTGTCCTTGTGAGTCTATTATGTGATCTTAAGTTATTAATTTCTGTTAATACAGTGAAATAATGAGATGCATTGTCAACTAAGACTGCGTTCTTTTAGATGGTTTTCAGTGGTCCCACTGTCAAAATTCTAGACCTAAAAAAATTATACATCTTTGATTAAATACATAATAGTAATTTTCTAGTGAGGGAAATATTGTAATGAAGTTGAATAAGAATTTATGCTTACTATATTAAGCCATGCTGGTTACACATCTCTGGAAGCTTGGGCTATTGCTTGTTGGCAGGGTTTATATTTCTGTAGAATGTCTTAAACAAACAAAAAAACCAACAAAGCCCTCATGAAGTGTTTAAAATGTTAGTGTTTTTGGCAAGAGCCTACTTAATTGCAAATCTTACAAATCATTTAAGCAGGTCATATTATGTTGTGCTGCTAGAACATTCTTTTACTAAAGTTTGCTTTTGTCCTTTAACTGACTCAAATTATATTTTTTGGCTACTGGTGTAAGGGAAAAGAACACCACCAGCAGTGTGATGTCTGCAGTGCTTTGTGGAATATGATCTCAAAACCTCCCTATATTGGTGTTTAATTTTTTGAATATTAAATACATACATATTTGTATGATAAAGTGTCTTCTAGCAGGTAAAATTAAAGGATGAAA